TGGCGATGGATGAGTTATATATATATATATATATATATATATATATTATATATATATATATATATATATATCTCCTCCGCCACCGACCACTACCATCATATCCGCCAGCGCCACCTCCACCACCACCCACCGCCGCCATATTCATCTATGAAAAACTAATTCCTCTATACTTATTCATATATAAATATAAAAATCCATATATGTAGTCATATATGAATATGACATGTTCCATCGACCAGATACGTTGAAATGAAGATTCAAAATGAGTGACTCAAAATTTTTCCTTATTCTCAATATTATTTACGCATCACTTGTTAAAATAAACCGCTTATTAAAATGGCCATACGATTCTACACATAGGAAAGCATATGTTGCATTATATCTTTTTTTTTTTTTTTTTTTTGAAAAGACAAATTATCCTACTCCTAATCTAATCCTAAACACCATCTATGTCTCCTAGTGAGACTTGAACTCATAACCTCCCATTTGAGAGAGTCACTCCTTACCGCTAGGCCAAAGACCCTTTGGTATATGTTGCATTATATCATCCTACCAAACCTTAAAGTCTCTCCATTTAATGAAAAATAATTCCCACATGTAACAATAATAGTTGTGGTTAGGAGGTATTTTACTTGGAAGTGAATAAACTCTTTACATGTGCTTAGTGTTTGTCATAACAATTGTCTTTTTTTTTTCTTAATCTAATAGATAAAATGTCACGGAAGTCTATAAGATATTAAGATTCTCCAATTCCTTTTGTCAAATATTAATTATTGATTATGATTATATATATATATATATATATATAATATATATATATATATATATATATATATATATATATATATATATATATATATATATTATATATTATACACTTATAGCCACATGAATTATATATATTTTATCAACACGAAAATCGAGCATATACAAAACCAAAACATTGTTATTTGATGCACTACGAGCCCAACTATAAACATATTATTCATATTTAGTTTTTTTTTTATTTATTTAAATAATGTTGTTAAACTAGAGTTTGAATGTAGATGAGATGACATTAAATGAGATGTAATGTTTTTGTTATTGTGAGTGGAGTGATGCGACATTTGTTTGTTGAATTGTAACGTTCAACATTATTGAACGGTTGCATCAAACCGACGGTTGATAATTCAAGTTTATGGATATTTTTTGGTGATTTCAACTCAGTGAGAAGACATGAAGAGCGATTCAATTCTAAGTTATTCCCATACATAACGTCAACATTCAACAACTTAGTACATAATACAGGTATTTCAGAATTCAATATGGTTGGAAGAAGATATACGTACATGTGCGATGATGGGGTGCAATTAAGCAAATTGGATCGAGTTCTACTTTGTCCTAACTTCATCTCGGTCCCCTGCCATTCTGCTTCTTTAACTCTTGGCTTTTATGGGATGGTATCGATAATATTGTTTAAAATGCAAGTGAATCTTTTAGTGGAGGGGGTTTGGCTGATGCTTATCGTGCTGGAAAACTGAAAACAGTAAAACAAGCAATTAAAAAATGGAGGAGACTGGGATACGAAAATGAGTCAAAGGAGCTCAACGAACACAAACAAAAAGTTGAAGACTATGATAGAATTGCTGAAAATAGATCGTTACTGGTCCTTAAAAAAATGGATAGAAGATATATGAAACAGAAAATCATGGAATTCGAAACTATCACAAGGTTAGATCTAAAACAGAAGGCTCGAATCAAGTGGTTGGTAGATGGAGACGAAAATTCGAGATTCTTTCATGGCACTATTAAAAATAAAAACAAAAGGAACAAGATATATGGGCTAATGATAAGTGGAGTTTGGAATACACACCCATAATCCATCAAATCCGAGACTGTGAATTTCTTTGGTTCTAAATTTTGTGAGTCTTGTATTGATCGGACCAAAATTTTGAATTCAAGGTTCAAAAAATTGAGCCTTGAAGATTGTATATACTTGGAGAAGCCATTTAGCATGGAGGAAATAAAGGATGCAATTTAGAATTGTAGCAATTGTTTTGATAAAAAATTATACAAATACTAATTAACCAAATTGAATGAGAGGCTATGATGTTCAGATTGTATAATAGCAAATGGTAAAAGAAAGTGACACAATAGTTTACAAGGAAAGCCCTTGATCCTTGCTAGGATCTCCGATATAAAACCTTGGGATGTGATAATGACCACCTGCCTTGATGATTTTATTGATATAAAATGAAGATTACAGTGAGTTCTTAGTAAGAATAAGTAAAGAATTTCGTAAAGTAAGGTTAGAAAAAAAAAAACAGGCTGTTGTGTGCAGATTACAAGTGTCAATTTATAGTCTAAACTAGACAAAAAGATGTCTGATATTTCCGGGATCCTGTATAACCAACTTCATGAATGTTATTTGACCTAGTATTCTGGGTCTTCAGCGTTGTTGAGACGATTATTCGTTGAGAATTGGTCTTCCCTTGACTACTTCTACACACGCGTTAATTATAGACAAGATATGACCATTATAAATATTAATAAAAATAATAACGTTAATTAGTCGAGATCCTGAGGTAGCTAAGGATCCTGGATATTTGAGGATCCTGAATATTGTAAGGGTCCTAGCCCTAACAATTGCCTGCAAGTTACTCCTGAAAATATAGGGATTAGTTTCGTAAATATTAAAGGAATGACTTTAATTAAATTTAAAAGAGGAGTTTGAAACAAGTCTTTAATGGGTAGGTCTTATCTTTATCGAGATAATCTAGAAATGGTCAAATCATCTCTGTTATCTTTTTCTAGCTATAACTGAGGGCTTTCGGTAACTCCTCTTTTTATCCTCCAAGTCGCCATCATCTCATTGTGAAGGTAATCCTTTTTCCTTTTATTTGTTCTTCCGTTGTTTTCATTTTCCTTGTTATGACTAAGAAAACTAGCCGTTCTCAAGCTGACATTGTTATTCCTTCCAAGAACGATTTTAATGATCAAGGAATCTTAACCTATAACGAGGTTTGTTCTTTTGACAATGAAGACATGGAATCATTGAAAGCCATCGGGGCTTTCCCTTCTGATGTGGTTTTTTATCCTTTCGAGGCTACCATTCAACCTGATTTTGTGTCTCTAACATGGGTTTGTTTTCCTGAATACCCATTCACTCTAGGTTTGACTTATCCTTTTACCAGTATTATTCGTGATTTCTTTTTGTGCATCCTATCCTTTTATCGGTATTATTCGTGATTTCTTTTTGTGCATTCAAATTTCCTAGATCCAAACTATGCCTGTGGTTTGGAGGATCCTCTTTTGGATTGATTGCATGAATCAGTCCAAAAATATGGACATTGGATTACCTGAATTGGCCTTCATCTATGATCTCTCTACTTTCGGTTCTTCTCGTTTCATGTTAAGAGTTAAGACAAACAAACCCCACCTCATTCTGAAATCTAAACAAAATGATGGCGTGAAAGAAAAATATTTCTTCGTGAGGCGCAACTCGATGCTTGAGGGGGATTCCCTGCCAAGATCATTAATTAAAAGGCTAGGAAACAAGTTTAGATATGAGTAAATTACACGAATGGTCCCTATGGTTTGGAATAATTTGCACGTTTGGTCCCTAACTTATTTTTTTAACTCGGAAGGTCCCTACTTTGTGTTTTTGTTACACGCTTGGTCCTTAGTGTTTGTTTTTGTTACGCACTTAGTCCCTATCTTACCTAAAAATAATATTATTTAAACAGAGAAAAATGGTGGGGTTGGTAAGGTAAGATGAGAGGGGCAAGGTTGGGGTGTATTTATTTAAATAAATTAAAAGATCAAAGGAAAAATGGTATTTTTAAGTAAGACAGGGACCAAACGCGTAACAAAAGTAAACATTAGGGACCTTCCGAGTTAAAAAAATAAGTTAGGGACCAAACGTGCAAATTACTCTAAACCATAGGGACCATTCGTGTAATTTACTCTTTAGATATCACGGATCTTGAATTTTACTTCACTTATTTTGTTTGTTTTGAAGCAACGTTTAGGTTTAAGGAGCTTATTCCTGTCGCCAGTGACTCTAAGGACAAGATTTCCAAATTCCTCACACTTCCTGCAGTTGATAGGTTGTTTAGGCTTAAATACTCCAGTCTTCAAGAGGGTTCCTCCACTACTGCTTCTATGGCCACTGGTAACATTATTTTTCTTGGATAAGGGATCTCGGGCAGGTTCTATGACTACCCGGTCCAAGGCACGCT